ACAATAATCAGCTACTTGATCTATCACAATCTATAGATCACAAGTCATCTCAAATTTCGTCAAGTCAAACTTTTGAGAATACTCAACAATTAAATGATGACCAAGATAGAGATCAACAAATATATCCTGATGTCATAAAAGAAAAAGCAGTCGAATATCCTGTTAAAGATATTATTTTGAATAACGATGAAGAACAACCAACTGACTCCAAACAATCCTTAAATTTCAGTCGCCAAAACAGTGCAATAGATTCATATATTACATCGCAAACAGTGAGTCCTAGTTTGAATGAATTAGGACAACAAGAAGACCTAAAATTATTATCGTCCGCTAACTCTATTCAAACTTTGCCTCAAGATGATATAACACGTCTTCAACCTGAAAATGAATTGCCAACTGATGATTTACTTTCTATACAACTTCATAGACGATCATCATCGTCCGATGTTGCAGAATCAGCACTGCCAATTACATCGGGACCAGAGTCACATATCATATTCGAACCATATAAATCCTCATCCATTTATGTAGAAGAGAACAGCCAACACGCGTCTCATGCAGAGCAGTCCGATCAAGCAGTCATTCAGACAGAATTATCAGAAAATGTTTCATCTGATGTTCAATCTCCAACCTTATTCTCGATTTCAAACTCTCATGCCATTGAAGAACAACAACAAAACCATATCTTCACATCTGATTCCAACACGAATAATAATCAAGAAGGATTCAATGTCATAACTGAAATGTCAAATAAAAATTCAGATCTATCTACAATGAAAGAAAGAAATTCATCATCGGCTACTGATACGGAGAAGTCTCTTGACTCATCGGTTTCTGAATATCCTCTCTCGACATCGACTAATCATGAGCAAACAAACTCACAGTCAAAAGAAACACATTTACTTAATACGCCGACTCATGAAGCAACTCGCTTGTCTGTCTCTTTACCGCAATACTCAGAGCCTACAGAGCTCATTCAAACGCCTACATTTGACGCACATCAAACCGAACTTCATTCTTTTGACAAAACAACTGAGCCATCTATAACTGACGATAAATATGAACAAGGTCAACCACCACTACCGACTACTATTCTAGGCGAAGCAGGTAACACATCTCTATCTGCTGTTACAGAACCAGAACAAGAAAGCAAGCAATTTGCGTCAATTCCGACTGAACAAAGTCATGAACGAACTCGATCT